GATGGCATCTCAGAAGTCAGAAGTAGATGAACTAATGATCTTGAAAATAAGTGTCATCTGTCAGCATGGATGGGCACAGATTTGTTGCTGCTTTCTTACTGGTCTTCCCGAGCGGACATTTTTGCTGTTTCCAAAGATTGTAGGTCCAGTCATGATAGAATATCACAGAAGTGAGATGGTCAACGGGTGACACCAACAAGAGATAATCTCCTGTTAATTGGCGAGAGCATCAATACATGCAACTGCCCTGTATACCTAGTAATAAAGTACCTATAACTTGTTTTAGTCATCATCAAAGACTTACTATTAAGTTATTTTTAGTCCCCGTTCAGACGAATGATGACCTACATATGCACGCCAATTTTCGTTATGTTTCGATTAAATATGGCTAACTGGCAGCCATTTTGTCCCTCAAATTTGCTAAATTCTGATATTTAAACGTGTCCGAAACTGTTTCTCGGAGTTTCTCAAACAAACTTTGTATGGTGATCATGCATACATGTATTAGGTTATAGGTGCACGTCACTTTTTTTTTTGAGATTCGGTCCAGCCATTTTTTTTTTTCATTTTTTTGTGCCGATTCCTCTGAAAGATATGGCCTGATTCACTTGAAAGTTTGTACATAGGTAGTATACTGCAAGGTAACACAACAACATGTTTTGTCTAGTGATTTGATAAAATTTGTCGAAATGGTGACCATTTTGTCAAAAAAAAACGTAAAATCACATTCTGTAACATGTCCGGAACTGTTTCTTGGAGCTGAACAAGGCGATATGGCATGATTCAGTTCAAAATTGAATAGGAACTTTCAATCAAACTTTGTATGATGACCTTACATATTAGGTTACAGTGCAAGCCAAATTTTTTTTTCAGATACCTGAATAACAATACACGACTGACTGCGTTTTTCTTTCATGCTATTTCCTCTGTAAGATATAGTCCAATTCAGTTCAAAGTTTCCACGTAGGTACTATACTGACAGTAACACAATCTATAATCTGTGTTAGTGTTAAAAAAAACATTGATCTTTCATTTCTACATGTCACTTGTACTGAACATTTACATCGACTACAGCTAATACATTATCAATGCTTGTTATTTTTAAAATCGTTTTTAATTAAAATTAACAGTGATAAGTATTTGGGTCCCTATCTCACTGATATGTGAGTATTTCAGTGTTTCATGTAATTATTGTACGATTCCTGTGAACATGGCTGTCATAGAGTGACTCGAAATCGACTGAAAATCTCGTACTGATATATCATAATCTTGCTTGAGTGAGTTTCTTGTCTCCATGAATGAAGCATTCAAGTTCAGTGTCATTGGAGTTGACATGCCTAGGGAGTGAAAAAGACAGACAATTATGTTGCTGATGGATTTGTTTCGTACAGTATCTGTATTACCTGAAAAATTTACTGATAATGTGCTAGTAATTAATCTGTTGAATTTAGTTGTACATGTACTGTGTAATGACTACTGTAAAATAAATACCAGCAAATGTACCTTTTTTCCTGTATTTTACATTCAACTCATCAAAAATCAGTGAAAATAATTTCAATACAAAACACCCAAATAGCCTTCTCAGCAAAAATTTATTCCAGCTAAAATAAAGTATTTCACAGTATGTGAATTTTAATTATATCCCTAGAGTAATATAAAGTTAACCTGTTGTCTAAAATCAATTTATACACTCTGTGTCTTTTAATATTGAATTCTGTTTCACTTATGACCGTTGTTTTATTGTGTGTTTTGGTTCTAGGCTCTCTCTCTATATATATCGTATACTGATCTCGGAATAAAATAAATTAAAAAATGAATAATAAAAAAAGCAGTTGCAGAACTGTATTTTATCCAATAGAGGTGCATTTGTTTTTTACTCATTTGGAATGTAGAAACTTCTGTAATTTACATAAGTGCTGGCATTATTGATAAAACGAATATGGTATTGTTCTGCTGTATATAATTGAAATGTTTTGTCCTATTTTTGTCATGGAATTCAGCGGGGAGGGGTAGGAGTGAGGGGAGGGCAATTTATAAAGGGAGAGAAACTGGCATTCTCCAATTTAGATATTAATTTCAAATACATTATTTGATTAGCCAAGCAGTTTTTGTGATGAAAAACCTGGAAATTTGAAAACTTAATTCTTGTTCAGTTTGACATTTTAATAATCTTTGTCTGTTTTAAAACCTGTTCATATAGTTTATTATCTTTTTTTTATCTGCCACTTTTTTCCCAAAAGGCATATACATTGTACATGTACTACTAATATGCTTCTTTACAGAATACCTGATTATACATCCCTATACTTTGTGCACTGTAGTACTTTTGTCACATTCCACTTGACGTAGACAACACGTTTTACCTTGTACATTATATACGACGTTCAGTTGCATTAGTTTCTTTAAAAAAAATGTCAAATTTTTGTGCATCGTCACTAGGGTTTTTGGATTGTGTTTTTGTCATTTTCTCCTTTATTTCTTACTACAATTTAAAATAATACAAAAATGTACAAAGTTGCCACATTATCATTTTTCATGTAATCGACGGCTCATGGTTGGCTTGCCAGCTCGTTTTAGGTCAAAGAGTAACTGAATCAGTCGTTCTCTGCCAACAACATGAGAAAACTGTTGTACATGTACAAGCAGAAATTGACCTTTAAAAAAGTAATATTAGAAGAGTATTTCTAATTGAAGCACATGCTCAAAAAATAGCATATATTGTACAGTTGATCATTAAAATATGACTGACATGTATTTTTAACAAAAGACCCACCTCATTATTTACATAAGTGCATGCATGATATATGATGAAATTGACCACAATTTTTCGGTCAATCTTTGCCAACAAAAAATTGACATGGATTTTTGCGAAATAATAAATCTGCTGGTGATGGTGTTATTAATTTCATGATTTTGTGCAAAATGTTGTTACTTCAAAATATTCTAAACAATTCTAACCATATACATTTGTACATTTGTGATTTATGGTAAAACATTTTATGTCCCCTCATGCTATTGTAACCTTATTCAACTATAATGAATCTTACCCAGGGTACAGTGCTAAGATGGGTATAATTTGATTTATACTGCTTTGTTACATTAATCTACAGGTTTTAGTACATGTATGAAAAAGCATCACAGATATTTCCTCCACTCACAGACTCCTCTTTCTTTCTTTAAAAGTAGAATGATTTGTTGTTGAGTTTAACAGTAGCAATATTTTATGTTGAAATCTGTCTACAACTATTTGTTTTAGTATTAGTCAACAGTACTGTGAAATACTTTATTTTTGCTTGGAATTAATTTTCGCTATTTTCGCTGAAGGAATGATTCAGTGAAAATAAAATCCAGTGAATATACCTTTTTTTTCTATATTTTACATTCAACTCGTCAAAAATCAGTGAAAATAATTTCCATACAAAACACCTGAAAAGTCGTTTCAGCGAAAATTTATTCCAGCTAAAATAAAGTATTCTATGTGAATTTGTGGTTTACTGTCAATTTGAGAAAAACTGTAAATTTAGTAATATTCATAAAATGCCATTTTAGCAATTTCCATAGACCACAATGAAATCACATTTTCTTATATATTTTTTTGTGAAATTTGAACAAAAATGGGCGACTGGTGGCCATTTTGTTTTTTTTATGGTATTCATGCTGGTTGCTCTGACTGAATCTGTTCAATGTTGGCACACAGATGATGCATCGATCCATTGGTGAACATGTATCTACCTGTGACTTGTTCTGAACTACTGATAATATCAATCAGGGACTGCGCATTTTAAATGCTTGTTATAGAGAAAAATACAGTCACAAGTACCACTCTACCATATCAGTTTACTGAGCAGTGTGAATAAGTGGTCATGAATATACATGTAGTATATGATACACGTATCAAGAGTCTTCCCAAGTATGTTTATATACCGCTTTGTGAAGACCAAGCTGAGAAATTGGAGTGCTTACATGTACAGAGGGTTATGCTTGCACCAGTGTACACAGTGTGAGGTATTACAGGTTTACATGATAACCTGATCTGCCTGCGAATTATAGTTTGAAGTAATTGGAAAGTGAAAACATTAACTTAAAATATTGCGAATGGCTTATATGGCATGTTTTGTGTTCATGTCATTATGTCTGATATGTTCTTTTCAAATTCAAAGTGCATTTAAACTTTTTTTTGCTGTACAGTATTTGCACATGTTTGTGTTTTTCTCTTACCCTGGTGGATGGTAGTTCTATGTAAAGGGAAACAGATGTGAACACATTTATAATTTGTACACCTGCAGTAGAAAGCAGTAACTGATAAGCTCTCTAAGTTTGCAACTTAAAGATCTTTGGTTGGTAGGTCAGGTTTGCACATTGTATTACCCTTAAAATTTTCACCACCAGTTCCCTCTCTTCATCACAAATTCACAAAATAGTTCTGTTCATAGTCTGCACTTTCCTTCAAATTTAAGCCAAATTTTGTGAGTGTCTGTTGGCTCCAAAATTAGGGTTCATTTCCAGAAATACTGAGGAATAAAGGAGTATGGTTTCTGTGACAAAATTAAAGTGTGAGGTTTCTACTCTCACAAACAAATATCAGAATAGAATAGTAGTATTAAGTATTCAATGTCTTGCAGAGTACTAGTATGGAAATGGAGTGTACATTGTAGTTGGGTGTAACCTTTGCATGGCATAAATATAATCTCAACTTATTTAAACCAACATAGAACAAGCTAAATGTTAAGTTACACTCCATTTGCATTGTAAATTCAATCGCTTGGATTAAAATCAATCAACAAGACATATGCAGTCTGAGCATATGACATGTGGGACTAATTGCAACCAACAAAAAACATAATTTAAAAGTTTTTAATACATGTATGTTTTTATGTTGCTTTCAGCACATAGTACATTTACACTCACACACATCGGTACTTTTCTTTACAGCTAGGAAAGTCTTTATATAGTACACCTTGTTATGTGTACTTACTTTGAATCTTAACCATATTTTCCAGTGCCACTTGGTCGTAATCAACCTCTAAAACAAGAAAAACCAAAGTGGAAAAGCGATGTTCCATTAACAGTTGGACAGTTGCGAAGCAAACGAGATGAATTCTGGGATACTGCTCCAGCATTTGAAGGAAGGAAAGAGATATGGGATGCTCTGAAAGCAGCGGCTCAAGCATTAGAAAATGGAGATCATGCATTAGCACAAGCAATCATAGATGGTGCTAACATTACATGTCCAAATGGTAGGTATAATATACACTACAGTTGGAAACATGGGTGCACTGTATACTGTTGACTTTTTCACTGCAAGGAAAATTCTGTGAAGTTTAGTGTGATTATGTGCCTTTAGGATTCCAGTGAAAGTTTCACTACTTATTAATGATTTTTGCAGATTGATAGAATTCATGAAAATTTGCATATTAATTAGCCAATTTTAGATTTTAATGCACATGATTAATTTTGGTTGCATTAGTTAATTTTTAGCTTTTCCACCAATGTACCAACCAACCACTAATTCGGTACATACATATAGGTGCTTTTGGATAATCATCATGCAACTAGTGTGTTTGTTGGCTACTACAACGCTATGACCTTTCTATGTCCTATTTTTATGTTCAATACCAGGGATCTCACAGTAAAAAAAAAAAAAAACGGGTCTATTAGTTTGTAATATACAAACAGAGAAATGAATTTGACTCAAGTATTCAATAGTTGGAGCTTGTGAGTTTCAAATAGAATTTCTATGAACTTTTACAGGCACATTGACAGACTGCTATGATGAATTAGGAAACCGGTATGTGCTGCCGGTGTACTGTCTTAGCCCACCAATTAACATGATTGAAGAAACTAGTGAATCGGATGCTGGGGACATGGAGCCTATCAACACAGGCGGTGTGGAAACCACTATTAGATTACGCTTATCAACAAACAAAGACAGGAAAATGACTGTACGGACCACAGATACTGTTTTACAAGTCAAACGTAAGATTCATACAGAAGAAGGCATTGAACCGTCACGACAAAGGTGGTTTTTCTCTGGTCGATTACTTAATGATAAAACTAAAATAGAAGACGCAAAGATACCCAAGGGTTTCATCGTTCAGATTGTTGTGTCTCCGCAGAACCCAACACCAGTGGAGAACTGATCAGTGGGTGTGAGTCACTTCAATAGCTTTTTTTGCAGGCTAGGAAGCCTGCAACTGGAAAATTCTGCAAAGCAATTTGTATTGATATTGGGTGACAACCATGCATGCCTCACTTTACTTGTGCTCTTAAAACAGTGAAGAAATTATTACTTTGTTATTAAGCTGCTCAACAATCTGTTTGAGATATATTTATTATTTTGATCACATGTAATCAGTTATATGGAGGAGATATCTTAGGTGTGGATTACTGTGTCGCAGCAAGTTATTTTATCCGGAATCATCATTGTATCTACTATCTGTATGTATCTACCGCCCTCTGGTGGCAGTCTTCTCTGCAGAAGTAACAGCAACAAGCACTGCTACTTATTCACAGTTCACAGATGATTATCAACGGTGAAGAAATTGAGCTGAAGATGGAATGCGTCAATGTGTTTGTTTTATTTCAAGGTTTCAAGGGAAATGTAATTTATATATATATATATGTGGAGGAAGTTACCCAAATAAAATGTTTTCTGCTGTTAGATAATATATTACCGGTAAAGGAAATAAAGATGTTGTGCATTCATAATGTTAAACAGCGATAGATAAAATAAGAAAAATTACTGCACAGATTACAGTAGTCCGATTGTGCATGTACAAAACGAGGCAGATCTGGGTTTGTTTGTTTTTTGACATGTGCCATTATATGTAGTGTCCATAGTGGTATTGTATTTGCACCCAGAGTATGTGTTCTCTGCACTGTTGATATGCAATAAACATTTGTTGTTTTTTTCAATTTGTCTCAAGAAAAAACAGGGTGCATTTTAATCATTATGTTCATTAATTACCATAGAACACTGTATGCCACAGTGCATGTGCATTGCTGGCTTTTGATTGTTTGTTTCTGCTTTTAAGTTTATGAGAAAAATGTAATGTATGTACTGTGTTTGTTGTATGCAAGTTGTGTCATAGGTCAAAGCACCCTGCATAACTCATTGGTATAAATTACATTCAATGGTTGGTATTTGTTAGTTGAGTCTAACTATCACTTGACACTGACCTACCATAACCTGCAGTGACAGCAATTTTTATATTAGTAATTGACAAAACTGAACTGTTGAACATTCCTTTGCTTTAAATTATAATGCATATATGTATCATTTTCATTAAAAGTATTCTACAAAATGTTATTTCTGTTTAATAACGAGACATTATTTACATATCACCAGTTATTTTTTTTGTTTTTATCAAAAAGAAAAACAAATTTATAACATTCATTTAGAAATCTAGCATTCACCAAGTGAAATTTATTATTTTGTCTGTAAGTTGTATTTTATCTTCTAGGCTAATTGCCTGCCGGCTTGGTAATTAATAGTAAACAGACTTTTTTAATAGCATAGAATCTTTTTTCTGTGAGACAGTGACTTAGAACTTGGATGATCAGTTTGTCTAATTAGCCAAGCAAATGTATTTGAACAATTAACAGTTAAACAAGAAGAAATAAAATACTGTCTCTTCATTTGCCATTTTAAGTGTTGCATGCTGGGAATTCTCTAGAACATGGGATCTTACATTAACTAATAACATTTATAGCGACATTTATAAGTGATTGTGTTCATTGACCATCATTCCTTGGCGTTGCATGAGAGGCAGTGTATTGAGTCTAGGCTAAGTCTATGTGTAATTCCCTAAATATTGCAGTTACGTTCACCGTGTAATGTTTTAATGTATTTTGAGGGTGAAGGGGGTGGAGTACCCTTACAGGATTGCTGGAAAGACCAACCAACCAACCTACCTACCTACCTACCTACCTACCTACCTTCTTTTATAGCAGCTACTTGATTCAGCAGATTGTTCTTTTTTAGGATACGAGGAAGTTTCAAATTTCACCTCTTACTACTAGTACCGGGGTAATCCCTAATACACCATTTTACCATATTTGCTCATTTTTTTTTGTTTAATGTGAGTTTCTATTAGAGGTGTCTTACAATGTAAATATCCAAGCCATAGTGTGATTTATTACGTATCTTGAATGGCTGTTTTAATTAAGTGTGTACAACTTTACATGAAAATTACACACATACGTGCAAACAAGTAAAAATTGTCAACACAAATTACGCCAAACAAAAAAAAATTTATTCCACTACTGTAGAATACTTTATTTTCGCTTGGAATTAATTTTCGCTATTTTCGCTGAAGGAATGATTCAGTGAAAATAAAATCCAGCGAACATACCTTTTTTCCTATATTTTACACAACTTGTCAAAAATTTGTGAAAATTAATTCTTCAATATTGCTGGAAATGAACCCTAATTTTGAAGCCAACTGACAAACTTTGAGTAAATTTTCAGTTTTTGCTATTTTGTTATTTTGTGAATTTGTGATGAAAAGAGGGAACTGCCTTTTACTGGTGGTGAAAAGGGAAATGGTACTTCAGTATGAAAAAAAAAACTAGAATTCTATCACACTCAACATTTGGTGCTTTGATTTTAGCTATTGTCAATTGTATCTGCCATTGACCTGTATACTTTTCATATACAGTTTCTCTGTTGTATCTGGCTTACATGCAGTAGTAAAAAAAAATGATTTATTTTCAAATCGAGATGACAGTTTTAGTAGTTTTTCTATTTCTTAAATGTTTGGTACTGACTGAACTCAAGGTGTGTTTTAACCATCTTGATATTTGTCTGTGTGGAAACCTACAAACTACTCAGTTTCATATCCAGGTACAAATATTGACACTTGTGTTGGTGTCTATCATCAGATCCAGCCAGCTATATGGTTTGGTGTCTATGTACTAAATGACTACTTGCTGGATCCACATGTTTTTATGCTTGATTCACAAGTTTAAAATAATCCCATCGAAGAAAAAAAAGGTGATGCATAATTTACTTGCATTAATAATTTAACAGGGGTCTTGCATTTTGTTATGTGCCCTGTCCATTGCAGCATCCTTGTCAATCACATGCAGGAAATAACCACAGATAGACTAGATTTTCAAATAAGAATTTTGCTGAAAAGACTGCCCTTTAATCATTAAAATTTATATTGTATTATTAGCTGTATTGGAAGTGCAACTCCAGTTCTAAACATGGCTTGGCAGTTTCCAAAAATCAGATCACAGAATGCCCATCATAATCAAAATATTGACATGCAAAATATTCCTCATGCTTCAAAACGCTGTGTCGTTTGCTTTTTATTCTATCATCTGTACTAAATTTTGTTTTTATGGATTTTGAAGTACACCATTTATTCATGTTCTTGCGATAATTGGGATAAACTGGTCTTTTTTGCAGATTTATTCTTATTATTAAAAAAAGCATCTGCTGTGATCTTGGAAGGCATTGAAATAAATCAAAATCTGTTTTTCCACAATTACTACATTAGAACAAAGTTGTTGTAACAAGATCTAATTCTTGGGTATGAAACCTTACCTTACCTCACCTTACCTTACCTTACCTTACCTTGGGTATGTCAACGTTTTAATCTTGTACATGCATTCTGAATATAATTGTGTTGAATCACAGCGATTTTTAATTTCACTGCCAAGTCGCACTAAATCACTCCTGAATTTCTAAAGAAATGTCAAATGATAAACTCATGTTTAAATTGTCATTGTGCAATTTTTTATTGTTGTCCCATGCGATGTACACGATTCAAGTCAAATACCTTGTTTGCTCAGAAAATTTACTGGTGTGCTGCACATAAACTGGTTCTTTGAAAATTTAGTTGTTTTAGAGAGTAATATCGATATTAATAATTCTTCTGTTATCAAAATTAACTCAACACCCAATGAAAATTCAATGTGTGTTTCAATATAGATGTTGAAATCATCTGGAATTGTTAAACTTAGACATATTTTGAAATATTGAGCACAATTGTTTCCTTACAAGACTGAATTTATGTACAGTTAATTGCTTTGCCAATAAAAACCATGCTGTTGTAAATTTCAATACCTTTGCAATACCTATAATTGTCTGGTATGTCGCAAGACTTTTCAAACATTGTAAAGTTGTATAGAAGTTACACTATAAAAATGTAAAAAATAAACTAATATAAGAAATCTACAATAATTTTTAATTTCCGAACTTCATTTCATGTTATTTATAACTGTAAGACAATGTGCAGACAATGTATTACCAGTAAATTAGAATAAAGTATATCTTCTGCCTTTGTGCTTTTTCATTGAAATGTCCTTGGTTTCTTCAGTAGCACTTGTATAACATGTAGGTGCTTGTTCTGCATACACTGAGCATTGGTTACAATTTGTACCTCCCATCCAATGAATTTCTTTATTTGATATTTATTTATACTGTTTAAGTTGCTGAATCTCTCGAACTGTGCCAAATACTGACCATTCAGATTGACTTCTTAACCGCTTTCACACAACATTTTAGGTGTTGCTCATTTCTAAATGAGGTTGTCCATTTGAAATCTTGAGGCTGGAGGAACCTGTTTTTGAAAAATATATTTATGCCTGATATGCATTTTTTATTCCCTTTATTTAATTTTAATTTACTTTATTCAGTTGTGAAAATTTTATTTGTTTCTCTTCTTCCATGACACATTTTGATTTCACAAAATTCTTCATTTCACTTGAGTTTTCAAATAGGGGACCCCCCCCCCCCTAAGTTCAAGTTCAATTCAAATTTAGAAAGTGGCCTTGGGTGATTACAGCAATGAAAAGTATATATGATTTAGTGATTAAATGCCACTACTTTCAGTGCAGACTAGTTTCAGTGTTCCAGTATTTCAGGATTTATCACTAAACCAATTAATTTTATCTTTGTTCATAGTAATCACAATAATCAGTGTGTGAATGTAACTTTATGTACAGTTCTTGTTTTCATCCTAGTAGACTTGCTAAGGGGGTAAACGCTGCATTTTTTAGTACAAATGTCCTAGTTGGCACACATGTTCCTTGGGGCAATTGAACATTTTTCATCCAAAGAGACACTCTGTAGCTATGCAAATAATGCCTAATTTGCATAATTATGCAAATTATTAAGAACAATTTCTAAATATTATTAAAAAATATTTATTCATGTCAAACAAATGTCTAGCTTGATATAAAATGTCTAAGGACCAAGCAGAAAAATAGCATGCAAAATAAATCTTGTATTTATGCAAATAACAAGCTAATTTGCATAAATTCTGTCAATTAGTACATAAAAATTATTAATTTTCGAGGTTTTTATGCACTGCATTTTGTGGTACAAACTTTCTACTTGGCACACATGTTCTTTGGATCAAAAGGAAAAGATTCATCAAAAGAGACACACTGTCTCTATGTAAATAATACCTAATTAGCATATTATGCATATTAGAACCTCAAAATACAAAATTCACCAATGGAAAAAAAAACAGACACAAAAAAATTGTCTTACTTTGAATGAAGTCCAATTAGGCAGTAGGGGGATATCTGAACTAAATTTTACTCAGTATTTAATAATCCCCAAGTTGCATATAATGTACAAGCTATGCATAAATTATGCAAATTGCTACTTGAACATGGGAATAAACAAGCAGCCTGTCGGCTGAGATATGAGAAGCATTCAATAAGTAATGCCCCTGACCCACTTCCAGTTGTCTGATCTAGATGAAATTTTGCATGTTAATGATTTACATCTCTATGGGTTATGTTGCAAAATACAGCTCTGAACTAAGTGTAGTTAATGATTTACAGGTGTTTGAACTGAGTCAGGTGTGTAACGGGGCCAGTGATCCGGTTTTTGTATTTAAAAAGATGCACACCAAAGGAGACTTTTGATGAAATGAAAGAAACTTATGGTGGTGATGCCCCATCATATGACCTTGTAAAACGCTGGCATTGTGAATTCAAACATGGCTGGAAGTCTGTGGAAACAGCTCCCAGACCTGGTTGTCCCTCTTCTGCCATTGATGAGGCATCTGTCCGTCAAGATAAGGCAGCCATTTTGAAAGATCGACACATTACTGTTTGCTAAATAGCCCAAGAGGTCAAGATTAGTACAGGGTCTGTGGAAACTATCATTCATGACCATTTGCATATGCATAAGGTGTCTGCTAGATGGATTCCTAGATTGCTCACACCTTTCCAGAAGCAAGAACGCGTCAAGTGCTCGAGGATGAATTTGGAGATGTGCCAAAAAGATGATTCAACATTTTTCAAAAGACTGATTACACAGGATAAAACTTGGGTCCATCACTATGATCCAGAAACTAAATCCCAGTCAATGCAGTGGAAGCACTCGGACTCACCACCCACAAAAAAGGCAAGGGTGCAGTCTTCCGCTGGCAAGGTCATGCTCACAGTCTTCTGGGACCAGCAATGACAGATTCCCTGGCAAAGGGTACCACAATTACAGGAGCCTATTACGCTTCACTTTTTATGAAATTAAGAGAGGCTATTGAAATCAAGAGGCGGGGCAAGATCAGCAAAGGTATCCTCCTCCTGCAGGACAATGCTCTAGTCCATAACTCGCATGTCGCCAGATCAGATGCACGGGCGTGTGGCTATGAAATCCTCCCCATCCCCTTACTCTCATGACTTTGCACCCTCTGAACTTTCATCTCTTCCCAGCCATGAAGTTGTTTTTGAGTTACGACGTGGTTGGAGGACCAGC